AAGAAAACCCCAAGAGAGGATTATGAGTTGGGTTACTCAGACTTCACCCTTCACTCACAATCCATTTACCCCACCCCAACAAAATAAGGTGCAATTGCTCTCAATGCATAAAATAAAAAGTAAGTATAGGGTGAAATAAACCTGTGGCGCAAATGCGCCAAAGACCCATCAAGAAGCTGGTGGATTTGATTTCCCGGAACTCGCTGGATCAACACTAGGGATGCCATCAGTAGCGCCCTCACCAACAATGGGAACACCATCAGTATTTCTCCTAGAACCAGAGCATCGACCTCGCGGGCCCTCTGCTGCCGCATCTCCTCATCAAGAATGGACTACCTTTGGGCTGCCTCAAGCTCCTGCCTCTCTCTTTTTCGTGCTGGTCAGGCCTCATCGGCATCAGAAGTGTGGTCTGAAGAATGGTAGTGCTTCCTAGCATCGCGGGAGGGTCTGATAGTGGTAAAGTATCGCCAAAAAAGGCAGTCATCACAACCTCATCCTCCTCAATCTCCGGGGCAGCCTCCAGTACAGTCTCAAGAGGGGCTATATACTTTGCTTCATATAATTGAAATGAAAGACATGTAATTGCATTGAGATTTCATATGACCTTCATGCATATGACACATTCGCCAGGCAAGTTCTAAAGACACACACACAACAACAACATAATGGTTCAGTTTATACTATATTTTCCAAGTTCCCAAAATTCTTTAGATCAAGTTTTCCATATACATTTAACCAAACTATGCAGAAAATCTTATACTTACTCTCAAGAAAGTTCAAATTCACTCTAACACACCCAATTTATGATTCTCTTCAATTCTTGGAATCCATTGCATGCTTGAAAACTGACCCCTACTTTATTTCAATGCCTTTTTCCATTTTACTTATAATTTACCTCCCAAGTGTTATGGCTTTCAAACACTTCCAGGCTTTTGTAAGATTTAACAATATATGGTTTTTCCTTATACTCTACCTCAGATGTTTTGTGCATAAATAAATCCTCAGATTTACACAAGCTTTTATTGTACTTTAGATGTCCTTTCCATATCTTTTCTCCCTTATTCATTTTGAAATCTTACTTCACACTTTACACCAGATCCTTCTTCGCAATCTACATTTGTTTATGAGTCGTTCAAAATTGCTCTTTAATCTTAAAATTCTAATAAATGACACCAAAAAACTCTTGAACTTCTATTCTAATCATTGCCTCTCTATGCTTATGGATAATAGGCCAAAAGAACTCTTGAACTTCGAACCTAAAAAAAGACTTGAACTACATCATTGTCTTTGCCACTTTTACACATACCTTTACGTATGGCTGGAAGCTTGGAACTTTAAGTATACTTTGTATATTTCCATGTTTTTCCGATTATTGCCTTATGATCCTCTTTGTTAACTACAATTCATCTCTTAACCACACCACTCTGAAACGAAAAACAACAAGATATGCTCACAATTTCTGAACTGGAAAAGATAAATATTAAGGTATAATTACAATTCTAATCATTTCCTATTTGTGGTTATAGTTAATGGGCTACAAAAATACTCCTCAGCTGCGGACAAAAAAAAACTTATCTGCACTATATAAAATTCGTATGTGATTATGAAAGCAAGCATTGTTTACGTCAAGTTGACGCAACGACCATTTAAGAGACACAACTAGGGACAAAATGAGGTGAATAGTTGTGGTTTTGATAACTGGACTGAAGGTGGAATGAAATTCAATTCCAGGACATTGATGAAATCTTTTTGCCCCTAATCTGGCTTTGTAACGCTCTATGGATCCATCAGGCTTGTGTTTGACACGAAACACCCATTTGCACCCAACTATGTTTTGAGAGGGAGTAGATGGAACCAATGAACAAGTTTTATTTTTAAGTAAAGTTATGTGTTCTTCATTCATAGCAGCCTACCATTCAGGATATTTGGATGCTTGACTAAAGGTATTTGGGGTAAGCGAAAGGTGTTTTATGGTGGAGGTTGCAAGGTAATCGAAAACCACTTTGGGTTTGAAAATATTATTTTGAGACCTAGTGACCATTTGATTTGATGGTGTTTCAGCAGTTGGTTGTGGAGATGCATATGGACAGTTATTATGAGAAGGAGAAAGAGACAAAGAGTATGCAGAAGGACTTACAAGGGAGCCGATTGGCACGTCATCCTGATGGCCTTGAGTGTGCGATACACGAGTAGACATGGAATTGACCAAATCAGTAGTAGTAGGAATTGGAATTGGGTCTACAACAATAGGAAGTGAAGGAGATTGTGAGGAAGAGGAAGAGCTTGAGGGGGAATCTGGACACAACATTTTTCCATGTGCGAGACTTATGGTTGAGAGAACTGAGGATAATTGGTTATGAATGGAAAAATATGTTCAACAAACATGATATAGATTTTGAAAGTGGCAAGGTCTAATCAAACATAACTATTGGTGGTAGCAGAATATCCCATGAACACACAAGGATTGGACTTGGGATCAAGTTTGGTTGACGTGTACGGCCTTAACCATGGATAACAATGACAACCGAAAACCCTTAGTTTAAGAGGCTTTGGGGTAGTGTTAAGGAGACACTAAAATGGAGATTTAAGACCAAGAAGTGGTGTTGGCAGCCTGTTAATGAGGTAAACTGCAGATTGGAAAGCGAGAGACCAAAATTTGAGAGGGACAAAAACATGATGAAGAAGATTTAAAGCGTTGTCCACAACGTGGCGATGTTTTCTTTCGGCAGTGCCAACTAGTTGGGGAGTGTATGGAAGACTTATAAGATGTTGGATCCCAAAATTCAAAAGGGTTGATTTAAGGCCAATGTATTCACCTCCCCCGTCAGTGTATAACGTTTTAATTCTCAATTGAAATTGGTTTTGAACCATTTGAACATAATTAATGAAAATATCCTTAACATTTGATTTGGATTTGAGAGGGAACAACCAAGTATATTTTGTGAAATGGTCAACAAAAATAACATAGAATCTGAAATTATCAAAAGAGATAGTTGGAGAGGGACCCCAAACATATGAGTAAATAACATCAAAAGGCCTAGAACTTGTAATTGAAGTGTTACCAAATGGTAGACGATGACTCTTATTGCATGAACATGAATTACAAAATGTAAGACTCGACATGGTTCACTGGTAGGTTGAAAGAAGAGACACAAGCTTTGGTAATACGAGGTTGAGGATGGCCAAGACGAGCATACCATAGATGCAATGATAGAGTTTTTAATGCAACAAAATGTGCTTGAGGATGAGGTGTGACTGATTTGGTCATGTCCGTAGGCCACTCATAGAGATCACCATTACTCCTGCCTTGAAGAAGACATTCCCCCGTGCTCAAATCCTTCACAACAAAAGAATAAGGAAAAAAATCAATGGAAGTTATATTTTACCTACAAAATTGAGCAACGGAAATCAACTTCTTTTTAATAGATGGAGAACAAAGAACATTTTTTAAAAGAAAGTTGGCAACAAGATTAGGAGAGTAGTGTGACCAATATGAGTGATACGAATTCTTTTACCATCACCAACAATTATTGCATCCGTTCCAGAGAATTCAGTTGGAGTCTAAAAAGAATGAGAGTTGTTTGTAGTATGATGCGAGGCTCCAGAATCCACAACCCAAGGGCTTGGAGAATTGGAAGCATAAGAGTGACGGTTGACAAAATTAGCATATGCTTCAGTAGTACTGTGTGATTTGAACCTACATACCTTTGCAATGTGACCAAACTTATCACAAAGTTGACATTCGACCCGCTAATTGTTGCTTTTGGTTGTATTCTGCTGGGTGAATGAATTGTTATTCGGGGTAGAAAACTGATTACGAGAGTTGTATGAACCTGATGGAGTAGTGTTCCTACTATTGGAAGAGTTAGGCTGTCTATTTTTGGGACCATTATTGGTGGAATGTTGATGAAGTTGAGCAGTGATCATGGGTGTGTCGACCTTAGGTTCTGAGTCTTTGATGAACATCTCTTGTGCAAGGAGCTTATCAACGAGTACTTCGAATGTGATAGGATTATCGCAAGCTATTATTGTTGTAGATAACTCCTTGTACTCAGGACCTAGACCACTCAGTACCTTAATGATAAGTTCTTCGCTGTTAACGGGTGAACCACTGTAGGCCAAATCATCTGCAATGGACTTAATTTCTCTCATATAATCACTAATTAAACATGCGTCTCGTTTGACATTCGCCAGAGTATCGCGCAAACTGAAAATTCTTGAGTGAGATTTACTCGCATAAGTTGTTTGGAGAATATCCCAAACTTCTTTGGCACTGGAAGCATGGGCAATGAGGGGAGCGATTGTAGCATCAACTGATGCCATAATGGCATTGCGAACAAGACTGTCTTGTCACTGCCACAATCTCAAGTTGGGGTTCGGGATTTAGGTATTGTCTTTGTCCAGAATGTGTGCAGTTGGGATGGGAAGAGAACCATCAACAAAGGTAAGAAGATCGTAGCCAAACAATAGAGTGGTAACTTGGGATTTCCAAGTTGGATAATTCGCACTTCATGTTAGCTTGAAGGATAGTTGAGACACAGGGTTAAAAGCGATCAATTGAGAGGGATGAACGACACCCCTTGATTGAGAGTGACTGCTGGAGAGTTAGGAGAGGAGGAAGTAGCAGGCATTCTGGGAAAAAGGAGTTGGAATTCTGGAATAAAAGGAAGACGATCGGATATACTCGTCAGAGTTTTAGGAGGCTCTTGATACCATATAAGAGTTGTATATGATTATGAAAGCATAAAATATTATTGATACAATGTGTGGTATTTATACATGAACAAGTATAGAAGAGAAAGGAGTATGTTGAACGTAAGAGACCTAAAGAGAAGAGAAACTAACTACTTATATGACTCAAACATACTAATGTACTAGGACTCTGTATCCTTATCCTTATCACATTGTTGTCTTAGACACATTTAACATTTTCTTTTATGTATGGCTGGAGGCTTGGAAATTTTAAAACGTTATGCTAATTTTGAATAATTTCATGCCTTACCTGTTATTAAATTAGGGTCGCCTTTGTTTATTATAGTTCATCTCTTAGCCGAGCTTTTTCCTAGATTCATTTAATTTCAAAAGTTCTCCTCTTTTGCCTTAGAGGTTGTGCAAAATGCCACCTCAAATCCCTATGCACCATCCAGGTATGATTTGATGAAGTTTATCCTGGTTTCTAAAGTATATTATCATCATACTGATCAGGAGTTGAGATATTAAGATGTAAGTTACCATCCCAACAGAGGCGAATCCAGAATTTGAAGACTTTGGTGCACCGATATAAACATAGCTCAAATATGAGCCCTAAGCTAAACTTAAAATAAAAATTTTGGGTGCACCAATATACACATAGCTCAAATATGAGCTCTAAGCTAAACTTATAATAAAAACAATAAAAAAAAAGGCTTTATAGTTGAATTCGAACCCTAGTCTCAAGTGTGGTATCTCTAGCTTGTACCAGTAGCACAAGGGCACTTCTATGCTTTTCATGGGTGCACTGTTAACTATATCCTAATTTCTACCAATTTTTCAAAATAGATATACATATATACATATGATTTTTTCGGAAGTTAGCGGGTGCACGTGTACCCCTGTCCATAGTGTGGGTCCGCCTTTGCTTAGTAGGAGGATAATGATAAGTTATTCTTAAGCTCGCGAGGATTCAATTCTGTCACTTAATTTGACACCGTTCTAAAGAGATCTTTGTCCTCTGATTATCAACACTGTAGAAAACTCCTATCGTATTAAATCTCATTATCTTTAGTCGTGTTTTAAGAAAACAATGTGTTTTTAATTCATGATTACTTAAAGAGATTTTATTTTTGTTAAAATAGAACAAATGTATTATTTATTTGATCTTTGTGTTTTGCCGGACTGTAAATTTATGAACATCGTAATTACTATGTACTAAGCTGCTTAAATGGGTACTTCTACAGAAGGTTTTCATAAATTGACACACTTTTACAAGGATCCCAATAGTCTTGCCTAATTACATGTGATGTATTATTCATAATCAAAATTGCAATTTTTTCTATGTTCTATTTATTGTTGCATTTGGGTTATCTACTACTTAGTTTTGTGTTACTTGAGCGTACGGTCTTTTGCAAAAAACCTTTATAGGTAGGGATAAGGTAAGTGTCCACTCTACCCTCGCCAAATCTCAATTCCTTTTGGCTGGGGAATTATTCCCATTGATAATGGATGAATTTAAATAAAATGATTTCCTACGACATTATTTAATCCAAAGGAACATATGTTGTTTGATCAAACTCAAGAAGATGTGTTTTTTATGTTCATTAAAATAGTAAACTACACGACTAATTCAATAAGAATCACAACACTTGGATTAGGTATTAAGAGACCTTGCATAATAGAGAAAATACTCGGAATTGATGAATAAAATGTTTTTACCTCTTCACGAAAAGATAAATAGATAGAATGAAATAACATATTCTTCACAAATCAGTGTACTCACTAGAAACACAAATATTAATAAATGATCATAGGTAAGCTAATTGAGGTAGTTTATCACCGCGCAAAGCGCGGGTAATTTACTGAGCGTAGAATAATTTAAAACAAATCAAATAATTAATAAATATAAAAACAAGCACTATCATTTTTTTTTTGTTTAGGTTTCTTTGTCTTGTTAATTGCTTAATAGCTTTTATATTTTTGCTTAGGTTCTTGTTAATTATTTTTAGTGTTTATTTAATTCATTTTTTCATTTAGTTTCTCTACAACGCATTCTTAATACATGTGTTATTTTACACGACCTAGATTTTACTTACTCTCCATTAAACTTTTCCTAAGTGAACCAGGTTGCCCAACGTGTTTCAATGACAAAGTAAAGACAGTAAAGTAAGAACACAATATTTTACGTGGAAACACCAAGATCAAAAATGTGTAAAAACCACAACCTGTTCCTCAACAGGATTTCCCCCAACTTCACTAGATTCAATGAGCCTAACCAACCAACAAGATTACAAGAGTTATGTAACCTAAAGATTAATCAACTAATCTCTATTCTAGCACAAACCTCTAAGGTGTGTGTTCCCAATGTCTTCAAGTTGCCCTCAACTTGAAGACTAAGATCCTAGATTCAATTTATAAATCACTGAACTAACAATAAAATCACAAACACTAAGATTCTTCCTAAAGTATGTTCTTCCATGTTCTCCGTTCAGCAGCACCTTGAAAGTCAATCACTCTATTGCTTATTGCTTTGTAAGTGCATGAGAAGTATGGATGCCTCTCCTCCTATTTATGCTTTTTCTTTCAGAAGTCTTCTACTCCTTCACTGACTCTTCTTTCGTTCAACAACTCTATTTCATTTGGAGTTCTTCTTGCAATGAAACTCCTTTATGAAATAGAAGTCTTTCTTGAAAACCAACATTTGAGATTACTTTGCCAACGTGTTCCTTGCATTTCACCAGTTATCAAAACAATGCTTATCCCAACAAATTTCCCCTTTTTGATGATGACAAACTTATGTCCATTTTATACATTCTTCTCCGCTTTTCTATTTTGACCTGTTAACATTTAAGCATGGAACACTTTGGACAAAACAGATTAGTTGTTGGTTATAAATAATGCACACCCTATTCTTCCCCCTTTTGGCATCATCGAAAATGGTTTCAAGGTAATTAATAAGAATAGAAGAATATAAATGATTAATACCTAATCTGCACCAAAATATGGCAATCAAGATCATTACCAAATCAGGTAAAAATAGGGATTAACATCAACAATAATACCAAGAGCTGAAATTAATGTACGAAGAGCCAAAACAGAAACATAGAATACAACCAAAAGGCATTAAACATCTTAAAGAGAGAGCACACACAACACAAGATCCACAAAAACAACATAGTCAAGTAGAGAGACAGAAGAGAAGAGAGGTTTCAAGGGGATAAGGTGGGATTTTGAGGGGTCAGTAGCTGAGTCAAGTGGCGCACAGTGGCAATATTAGTAGTCCTTTCCTGAGCAAGTTCAATTTGGAGAGCCACTACCCGAGCTTCCCAACTCTCCCTTTCTAATTGATGAGCAGTCGTCATAACTACTAGTTCATGTTCCTTCTCAGCAGGCTGATTTTTCAATCGCTGAAGAGGGGAGTCTAGGCGTCTTATAGTAACATGAAAAGCCATATGATTCACCCGACCTACCACATCCTTGACAGTTTGAGAGACCCACACATGTACTGGCACGTCAAAAGCCTCAAAGATAGAAGCCATCCAAAACCCATAAAGAAGAGCATGCCAATTTTTATCCTGATTAAGAACCCTGTGCATGCGTTTGATGATCAGAGAGGGTAAGTCAATAGGTACCTCAGTGTATCCAATAACTCCATAAGGGTGAGATCAAGAAAGATAGCATGCGTCCGTTGTTGCTTAGGTTGCAGGATAATCTTATGAACCACATCAAAGTAGAGCTGATGTGGTGGATACATCTCATTCTTCTCAATGCAATGATGATGAGTCAGAGTAGGTTTTGAGGAGAACTTTCGATAGATACTTAGTGCAGAGGACTTGTTAAGTAGAGGAGGCCATTCAAGTTTCACATAGTGAGCCCGCCCAGCAGAAGAATATCTAATATCCGAGCAACATCAGCAAGGACCAAATGAATAAGAGTGTTTTGCACAATGGAAGTAAAAGATAGACCATCACTTTTGCCATTTATGTAGAATTCAGTTATCTCCCTCTTTGCCATCCTACATTGGGTATCTCCCTGAAGAAAAAGAGTTGACCAACCTTGGGCCTCCAGCTTGGACAGTAACACAGCCATCTGAGGACCCCAAATCCAATGACCACTCTTCCTCTAAGAACTGACTGCTGACGGAAGTGAATGATTCGATCAAGCTGAGCGGATGATGTTGAAGGATTGGACTGGGTTAGATTCTTAGCATTTGAACCAGACAAGGAACAAGAAGAGGAAATAAGGGAAGCAACCTGTTTCTTTTTGAATGTCGACACTAAATTTCTTAAGGATCGGACTTTCAGGATAGATTTCGAAGAGGGCTTGGAAAAAGAGGATTTCATGTCTTTTGGGGTGGGCTTTGGCTTAGAGCAAGAAGATTTCAAAGCAATGTGTTTCCCACGCCTAACCTACTAAGAACAATATCATCATCAGAAATAACAATGTCTGGGTTGTAGGTAAAGTTCTTGTGGAAGCACGTTTCCTTTTACTTGTTGCCATGGCAGAGGCTAGATCAACCTCAGCCTGACGACGTTTCTGTCTAGTTTGAGGGACCCTAACACCCAAAATGAATGGTTCAGCTGTGGGTAGAGATGATTCAGACACAGGATTCGACGCACACTTTCTATTGA